ATCAAAATTTAATATTCGTTTGGCTTTGTTTTACATGAAAATTGTCTATTAAAGTGAAATTTTTTTTATAACTGATTATAAAATTTGTTTTCATTATAAAAAAAAAAAAAAATAGAAAAAAAAAAGGGCAGCAGCCACCTAGAAAAGCTTTTCCCACCAACTTTTCCCTAAAAACAAGTAAATAGGGCGCGTGGGGTGGGGGTTGGAAAATTTTTTCTTAGCCAAATTTTTTCCATCAAACACTTCTTTTGCATGGAAATGAAATTTTTTTTCCATTTTCAAAGGAAAAAGTTGTGTATCAAACACAACCTAAGTGTATTGTACATTTTACCGCTCTCTCAAACAAGTTGGAATTTGGAAAAATTTAAAAAGAAATTCTCTGCGCACATATTAGGACTGCATTATCATTTTTACTTGCTTTATATTGCAATTATGCTTTATGGTCTATACTTCAATTGATTTCATCTGAGTTAGAAAAAGTACATAATACATGGCAGGTTGCTTTGATGCAATATAGTGATTGAGAAGATATAATGGTCATACTGAAAAAAACATTGTTGCCCTTTTGTGTGTGAAACTCTCTCTAAAATAATGGAGATGCTAAGATCCCACTAAATGCCTACATTTCATGGCTTGAAATTTTCTCCTGGTTATATCATGCGTGTTGACCAATATTTGCTTATATATGGATTTCTTTTCATTTTGGCGTTGGTTTTGCGTAAATTATTTTACCAAGTTTTGCATCTCCTTGGAGTTACAATACTAAATGTGCCTTTGCATATGACACATTTGAGGAAGAAGATGTGATACCTAATTGACTATTAGATCACGAGGAGGAATAAGTGATACATAGGAATGTTGACGAGTCGAGCCGAGCAAAACCAAGCTGAAGCTCGAGGCTCAGGCTTGACTGAATAAAAATGGTTCCTGCTTTGTTTTTTTTTATCCGAGCCAAACCGAGCTTGTGCTCGACCAAAAAATCTAAACCCCGAGCTTTCGGCTCAAGCCTTATCAAACCGAGCCGGTTCACGATTTTTTTTTTTTAATAACTCAAGTAGCTAAGTAGCTATCTACAACTACACATAGCTGCCAGGAAGCTAATTTTTTTTTTTCTTATTTTTTAAATTTCTTTTAAGGTTCGGCTCGTCACCAGCAGAAAACGAGTCGGCCCGTGTGGCTCGATCACGGGCCGGCTCGGTTCTATTGAGTCAGAAGTCGGACCGGCTCAGGTTTTTATCGGGTCGAGCCATGGGCCACCCAAGCCAACAAGTCAAATTGACGCCTCTAGTGATACCTAATTGACTATTATAGATCACGATGAGATCCAATACTTAATATGCTATAGAGTTCATAATGTTCAAAAGAGTCATTCAATCTTATCTAAAATCTCAAACAGGCTATTAGATTTTAAGATTGACGTTCTCAAACAAGTCGCATATCGTAAAGGCATGTTAAGAAATAAATTCCACATCAATTAATATTAAAATATTATATAATATATTATTAACGAAGTTTCTCCTGAAGAGAACCAAACCTAATCAAGAATTACTTTGTATCTTATAAATGGAACCGTTAAGTCCAAATTTAATTATAGAACTGATTCGTGGATTGGGTTTGGTTCAAGTCTGTACCATAATTAAATTTTCAATGTTTTCGAAATTCCAACAACCATTATATTCTCCTAAAGTTTGAAGCAACACAACATTAATCTAACAAATGATAGTTAGGCATCGGTAATGAATGAGAATACTTTTTCTAGAAAAAAAAAATTCAAAATATTTTGGTAGATTTGATATCAAAGAATAAATAAAAAATTGGGAGATTCTATTATTTGATTCTTTGGTTCTAGGTCTTGAATCAAGAATTAAACAAAAGCCTTGTGTTAGAATTTTGGTGTGGCATGAATTTCATTTTGAAGGTATATTTGGAGCTGGTTGTTTGTATTGGAGAAGTCTTGAAAAAGTAAAAGACGACAATGAGAAGGTTTCTCAATTTTGGTAGTTTTCTTTCCTATTTCAACTCCAATATTCCGTTATAGATTTTCATATTGTAATAGGACACTCTTGTTTATATTAATTCTCCTAATATATTAGAGATTCTTTGATTATAAATATGTGGTGTACTATAACACATATTGAGATTAACTAATTGTCCAACCTATTAGTTTGGTCCGGTTATCCAACACATTGTAATCCTTACTTTTGATTGGTGAATTCTCCGCCCATGCCCGTGATTTTTTTCCGTATTGAATTTTCACGTGAATCTCGTGTTCTTGTGATTGTTATTTTCATCTTATCCATTATCTCGTCTTTAATATTCATAACAATTAGCTCAATTTTTACCAAGTGGTATCAGAGCAGATTGGTATCATCAATCTTCTAGCAAGTGACATCAGAGTCCAAGGTCGGCAGTTCCTAGGAGCTAGTTTGGTTTCATATTAGAACGACGTTTGATCAAATTAGAACGAGATTTGATTTTTCAGGATGGCATGGTTGAAGTTTGATATTCCGATTTTGGATCGCAATACTAGATTTTCATTATGACGATTTTTGTTTAGACGCTGGAGAATAAGCAACCTAAGGATCAAGTTGTGATAAAGGGGTAGAAAAGGTCCAAGTTATATGTTTTGGAAGGTTTGACGATTACGTTTGATACAGTTGTCACTAAATTGAAGAAAAAAGATATTTTAACTCAAGAGAGAGGTTAGGCGATGCTGATTTGGTTGCTTATGATTTGATAAGCGTTGACTCAGATGAAGTTGGTTGTGATCGAGTTGCTCGTTGTGATAATTCGAACAAATTTGTATTGAAGAACCTACTATTATCTCAGGTGGAGTTAGTTGTCATCTTGATGATCTTATTATTCGTGATCTTAACGATCTTATTATTCATGATAATAA